GAGAAATACTGAATAGCTAAATCATTGTTAATCTTCCTGGTAATTCATTGTCAAATAAGAAACCTGTCCAAGCTATTCCTTGTTAGAACATATGTATGCACAGAGCGCTATAGTTGCACATTGAAACTTATTTTAATAATTTTAGGAATTCATGTTTTGGGTTTTTTTTTACAAGAAAAAATACAACACCAGTTGATTTCTACATAATCAACCATCCAATAAGTAAGGGTGTACTTATTTGTCATCACTTCTTTACTTTCCCAAGAGTTTATACATCATACAATGAAAAATCTTATCTGCAATAAAGAATAAACAGAATTAAAAAGCATTAGTTATTTTTTTGGAATTGTTCCACCAAAATTATCATAATGATTTTGGTATCACTGGATTCCTATCACTTTCTAGTTTCCATATATAGAGAAATTATTGCTCGGAAACCCTCCAACCCGCACATTCTTGCCCACGATAATGGGGAGGGCATGAAAGATACCAGGGAAACTGCTGGGTAAAATATAAATAATATACACTGAATTAGTCACTATATTGTTTCATATAGGGGGTTGTGCTCCCTGAGATCCAAGTTCCACTTCTCCATCTACAATCTTGACCTCATAGTCCCCAATAGCAGGGGAGGACATGAAGTACATCAGGAAAATTACGTCTTAACTATAGCCTTACGAATAACTCAGATTCAACACAACACTGAAAACTAAACATTTCTCACTGGCTTCCTGTCACAGAATGGCCAGAATGGGCCTGTCAAACCTGGTACTGCAAAAACGTGCATGCACAGAAGGCCATTGCAAACAACTGTATAAACAAATTTTAAAACACACAAAGTATAGCTGAAGTATAACAGCATTAATAATAGGTATTAAAAGCATAAATTTGGAAAAGCAGACACTGATAATTAGCAAAACATCATTCTGACAAAAGAGTATTAACACATGAAATACTTGGCATATCACAGTAATGAGTTAGGCAGTCAGTGTGTTAACATGAGCAATTTAGACCCTGAGTGGTGATATGCAGTGGATATTTTTGTCATTTAGCTGTGAATATGAGGCCTTTGTAGCTTATACTATGTTATTTCTGACTGTTATTTTTTACACTTTTTAAATAACGGTGTCCATTTCCCTTTATCATCATGTGTCTCTTTGGTACCTTATAACTCCATATTTTACCCCACAATTTCCCTGGTACCTTTCATGCCCTCCCCTGCTTTTGGGGCCAAGATTGTCACTAATGGGGGGAGGGTCTGTGCAATAACAAACTAAAGAGTGAGAGGAATCCAATGATAAAGAAAAAATATATATATATAATCTTAAGAAATAGTTAATGTTCATCACAAACATGCGAAAATCTTTCCTCTTGAGCAAACACCTTGGGGAAAGATTAGCTTTTGACATCCAACAACTATACGATATAATTCTTCTTTAAATGGATTCAGATACACAAATAAAATACAGAAATGAAGCTGAGAGAGAATCCGAGGACGCAGTGGATACAAGAGTAGCAGATGAAGATGGAGGAAGCAGAAGAAAACAAAATAATGTGAGGTAACGAAAAAATATAACAATCAAACATACTACATATCACGATTTCCTCGAATATACATTTGTCACAACAACTCAATCTATTCTTAAATAGTTCTTTCATCTTAAAAAATGTGCCCACTTACTCGCTTCCCATCAACGACTCAGCCATCGTGGAAAACTGTTGCAAAAAATCTCTTTCCTCTTGCACGTTTTTTCTATGACGTCACCATTAATTACACGCGTTCGAGTTGAAATTAATAAAATGTTTTTTATCTGTGATGATATGTTTATTTCATGTTATATATATTTTTCATCATCAGATTGTATTTTTCTTGTAGTGCGAAATACCTTAGATTGTCATTCTTTCGCAATCATGGACTTATGACTAAGGTTCGAACGAATGCTGTTGAGGATGGAAGGGAAAAACTGGAATAGAGAAAGTGAAGATGATAATGAGGGTGATAATAGTCATTGTTGTTGGTATCATAATATCATCATTATCACCGTCTTTATTACTATTATTATTATCATTATTAATATTATTATCATTATTATCATTATAATAATTATTATTATTATCATTATTATTATCACTGTTATTATTATTATTGTTGTTTTATTATTATTATCAATATCATTATTATTAGCATTACTACTGCCTTTATTATTATATTATTATTATTATCATATCATTATTATTAATCATTATCATATTATTATACTAATATTTTGAGAGAGAGAGAGAGAGAGAGAGAGAGAGAGAGAGAGAGAGAGAGAGAGAGAGAGAGAGAGAGAGAGAGAGAGAGAGAGAGAGAGAGAGAGAGAGAGAGAGAGAGAGAGAGAGAGAGAGAGAGAGAGAGAGAGGGGGGGGGGGGAAGGGGTGGAATGGTGGTACTGAGCTAGTTTGAAAACAGACAGAAGGATGTTGAAAGTTGTGACTGATTCAGCAGTGTTATCGCCAA